GAATCAGCCTTAAATTTTGAGAAGTTTTAAAAAAAGTAAAATTCCAACATCCCGTGTTATGCAAAACGCGTTGAAACCCCTTTATCTTAATTTGATGGGTCTTTCTCAACGTTTGAACATCTGGGTGTTAATATCTTTATATTTTAGTGCTGTAATAACTTATATTAGTCAGTCACATTATAACATACAAAGGACAATGTATTGACAACCATACCACAATTGTATACTATAAATGTAATGCATACCTGCATATGTACATACAGCAAATTCTTTTTAAGCTATTTAAAACTATATAGTATTATTAAAGTGTTATTTTCTAACGAGAGTTTTTTAAACTATAAAAACTGTCAGACATATTGTGTCCAACAACAATTCAATAAAGATCGAACGTTAATAACATGTTTTTATTGCACAATACTAGTATATGGGTTTATATAAATCATTTACAATGTTGGCTTACAATGTCTTACAATCTAATATTTTATTGTTAATAATAAGACAGATATATCCAAATAGGTATATAGATTACCTGAAATAATATTGTGTTCAAAATTTACATAGTTTAAACATTTTAAATGTCAAACATATGATTCTGAAAATTGAGAATTAACAAATAGTTACTTATTATGGGTTCAATAAAATGTGTTACAAGTTTCAGTAGCAAAAAAAAATATTTTATTTGATTATTTTAGAAATAAATAAGAAAGGGTCTTTTCTTTTCTTTATGGCAGATCACTCGGAAAGAAAGTAGACATCAAAATTCATGGGAAATCCCCTATATTTATTGCGTTATTGTCACCTTTTTTTTTAGATCAATTGTAATTCTTTAAACTAGAAATGGCAATGAAAGTAAGATCAGCACTTCATTCGGATTTAAAATATTTCACTGATCTACAGCGTAGTGTTAACATGAACAAGAATAAGAAGAGATCTATCTCATTTACCGTTTGTTGGTTTTCGAATATTTGGTTTCGACATATCGAATTTCGATATATGCATTTCAAATATTTGGGATTGCGTGTAGTAGTAGATGTTCTTACCTTCTAAAACTGAAACTGGGTATTTAATAAGCAGTTACACACAATAAAAGTTATGGCGTAATAAGCTATACATGCCGACTTGCATCTTTCGAGACAGGCATACGAACAATGCGATTGTTTCAGAAGATGAAGGATGTTTTATGATTTACAGGGTTAAATTACTGAGTGCAGGGAATGGCAAACATGCTATCATGGTTTCGGGCTGTTGTAGTTCATAAATACTACAACCTGTCGATAATACCAAATACATTCAATACCCCCATCACTAACAGGTGGCTCTGACATTTGTACCGGATATCAGGTGATAGCTATCTGCTAGTCGCAACAACTCGGTTATTTCCGACACTTTAAGGAAATTGGCTCATCATTTTGGGGCAAAATATCAGTGACAGAAATCCGAGTATCCATAGCAGACTCGACAGATTAGGCAGACCCTAAATTCACATGCAGCTGGGAGTCGAAACCACAGCACTCGCTCACTGATAGTACGATCTAAACCGCACTTTGAAAGGGTGGTGCTGGATACGGTCAATGTCTCATCGACATACTAACCAGGTCATTTTAAGACTATGTTTGCTTGTGCAATACGCGATGTGTGTTGAGCTATTTGCATATTATCGTAGTATAATCTATAAATAATAATATATATTGTACCTTGTACTAACAATATTATCAAAAACATTCCTTAGAGTACTTAAACCTAGATATTTGTAATTATTAATTAGCTGTCCGAAACCAATGGGGGTAACAGAATAGATGGGGTCGAAAATGACGATGATACATTTAACAGCCAGTCATGACCTGAGACCAGGGAATGCACTCGGGGTTTGTATTGACTACCTGCTTCTCGTCATTTCTCACTCCAAGCCAAGTCTCGTGAGAATTAAACTGTGTCTGTTATGCAGGTTTCGTACACCTGTAGAGTTACTAATGGAATGCTGCTGATATTCCTTTATTTACTGATTACAGCATATGTATATATGTGTACAATCCTCTTGAAGAAATCAAATACTGTTTTTTTTACTAACTAACGGTTACTGTGAGAGCTACCGTTCTTAAAACAATCTGTCCTATTTGAAGAATAATGGATAAAATTTTATAATTATTACAAAATGTTTATAGCGCCCCTTTCACAGAGTATGAATAACACATATTCAAAAAGTAAAATGCAACAAAAAGCTAAAGAAAAAAAATGCACTAAATAAACAATTATTTCTAAAAAAAAATACATACAAGACAGACATTAGACAAAATAATACTGGTTAAAATTTTGTTATAAGCCTTTAAAAATAAGAAAGTTTTAGTCTGTGTCTTTTTTAAAATTAACTAGCGATTTTGATAGTCGAATTTAAAAGGTAGTTGATTCCATAAAACAGGCGCTTGATAACTAAAAGAACCTGCCCTGTAACTAGAAAGATTTACAGTTTGTTGCTTTAAAAGTAATTTATCAGATGAACGAAGGGTTCTGTTTGAAGTATATAATTCTAAAAGTTCAGATAAAAACTTTGGTGATAAATTATGAAACCATTTGAAAGTTAAAAATAAAATCTATATTTAATGGGCAACCAGTGCAGCTGGAAGAGAAGAGGGGTTATATTTGTATTAAGATTATAAATCTAGTAGCAGTATTTTTTATTCATTGGAGTTTGTTAATAAGTTTAAGGGTAAGCCAGCTAATAGAGGGTTAAAATTGTCGAGGTTTGGCGTCACAGTAGGGTTAATATCACAATCACCTATAACAATGAAAAAGTAAGAATGTATATGTTTATTTAATTGATATTTCGATCTTGATAGAAGGAATTCGGCTTTATCGTCATTTAATTTTAAGAAAATTCTTTGACATCCATAGTCTTAATTCACTAATACAATATCCAAGTTGTTGTTTAGATAGGTTCAAAGAAGATGGATAGTTAGGATTAAAATAAATATATAGCTGAGTATAAAGCTCAGCATATAAGTGAAATTTAAGGTTATATTTATCAACAATATTGCTGATAGATAATGAGTATAATATAAAACGTATCGAATCTAAAACCAATCCTTGTGGAACGCCGAAAGAAAAACCCCAGAAAAAAAGCAGTGTCTGTTTCGGTAATGATTTCAGGAATTCCACCCAAGCTGATTCTTTACGAAGCTTTTGACTTCGACCTTTTAAAGGTCACCGGAAAAGCATCAATTTTTTTTTTAAATAATGCAAGTAATTATGTCAACATATCCTTTCCATAAGTATAACCCGAGCCCGAACGTCAATAATACCTGCAACAGGTAAATTTCAACATTAGTAATTTCCGCCGTTCTCCGTCGGTAGTCGGAACTTTCCCTCAATAAGCAATCCGTGACGTCATTTTAGTCCTTCTGCACATAGAAATATAGACTAGAATATGAGCAGAAGGACTAAAATGACGTCAAATTTACGGAAAGTTACGACTACCCACGGAGAATGGCGGAAATTGCTAACGTTGAAATTTACCTGTTGTAGGTAATATTGACATTCGGGTTCGTGTTATACTTATGGAAAGGATATGTTGACATAATTACTTGCATTATTTAAAAAATTTATGAACCTTTTCCGGTGACCTTTAAATTAACAAGTGATGATAACAGTCGAATATTAAAAGTGTCTTCATTAGCCCAGTTTGGAGCAGAACAGTAGGACGTTAAACCCCATTTCATTTCATTTAATTGATTGCATAAAACAGGCGCTTAAGGTTTACAGTTTTTTGCTTTAAAAGTAATTTATCAGATGAACGAAGGATTCTGGTTGAAGTATACAATTCTAAAAGTTCAGATAAAATACTTTGGTGCTAAATTATGAATCCATTTGAAAGTTAAAAATAAAATCTATATTTAATGGGCAACCAGTGCAGCTGAAAGAGAAGAGGGGTTATATTTGTATATCCATCCATTCGTTAAGATTATAAATCTAACAGCAGTAGTTTTTTTATTCATTGGATTTTGTTAATAAATTTAAGGGTAAGCCAACTAATAGAGGGTTAAAATTATCGAGGTTTGGCGTCACAGTAGGGTTAATATCACAATCACCTATAACAATGAAAAGGTAAGAATGTATATGTTCATTTAATTGATATTTCGATCCTGATAGAAGGAATTCGGGAAGGAATTCGGTTTTATCGTCATTTAATTTTAAGAAAATTCTTAGACATCTATAGTCTAATTAAAATTCACTAATACAATATTCAAGTTGCTGTTTAGATAGGTTAAAAGAAGATGGGTAATTAGGATTAAAATAAATATATAGCTGAGTATATAGCTCAGCATATAAATGAAATTTAAGGTTATATTTATCAACAATATTGCTGACAGATGATGAGTATAATATAAAATGTATCGAACCTAAAACCGATCCTTGTGGAACACCGAAAGAAAAAACAGAAAAAAGCAGTGCCTGTTTCGACTTCTTTCGTCGAGGGTGATATCACAGACAAAAATGTTATCCCGGGAAACTTGCTAGAATAGTCAGTAGAATTTTAGAAACCAGTCCAGCTTAGGGTGGGAATCGGACGGGGTGTGGAGGCAGGTAATTCGTCGCTTTTGAGTGAGATTATTTAGGACTATTGAAACTCCAATCCAAAGGCGCTGCTTAGCGGGACAAGTAATAAAGGAATTGCCCAGGATAACTGTGGAATGATGACAAGATATATACATACATACATACATACATAGTACGGTTTGTGTTGACTGACTGGCAGTTAGTAGGGCGCCGGGGTTCAACTTCCAAACTCGTTCATAACCTTATGGGTATTACAAGGGACAGACGTTGTCTTGCTTCGAACGCACAACGGCACTTTCCAAGGCCACCCTTCACGTAGGTATGTCCGACCGACGTTTGCACAATACTGTAGCAGACACCCCCCATTCCGAGCCAAGTAGTTAGATGGACTTTGTTTCAAATTCCCTACATGCCTAGAATAATGGCTAAATATAGAGATTAAAACCATACACAATTAAAGGTATTTTTATTTAAAAACATTCTGGTTCAATGATTATTCAAATTCGCCCATTTTACTTATAGTTCGGACCATTCAAATTTCTATTGGATTCTATCGATTTAATATATCGATAGTAACAATCATTTTTTCGTGCAAGTCGACTGTAATTATATTTCTAAAAAAATAAAAAAAAAATAAAAAATTATAATAATCCGCCAACCCCTTGCTCTCTAAGCCATGATTATAAATACTGTTAGATAGCCATATCGGTTAAGAATGATATTTATACTATTATTGTTGTATCGTTTTGGTTTATACTAACAATACATTAAACATACTAAAACAATATTACAAGTACTAATTCCACACTACTGAAACATTAAAGTGTGTCCGCCCTTTTGTCTGGATCATAGCCCATTCCATTCAACTTTGGTTCTTTATCAATATCCGAATCCCCATTCGCAAAATCATCTTCAGGATGTTTATATTCTTTCCAAAGTCTTAGGATGAGATCTCCTGTGAATATTTCCGAAGAATTCTGCGACACGATTCTTAGAATAAAAAGGCCATCAAAGCCCAAGAAGCTGGACAGAAACCTCTTAAGTAACTTTTTATCCTTGTCGTCGTGTATTTGGTCGTGGACCTTCAGGTAATGATTAACAAAGGATTCCTTGGATTTCACATAGAAGGTATCCCGAATCCACTTGAAGAGGCCACAGGCTGTGAAGAACGCTACAAAAACCAGTATAAACCACACCGATACAAAGATTCTCTCGCTGAATAAATTTACAGATAGAATACATTGAACTGTCCAGGTTTGGATATTTGACAGCTGCCGGATCTTAAAATCACAAAGAGTAGTTCTAGGAAATCTAGAAATACCTTTAAAACCCTCTTCTTTGCTTGCAGCGGAAAAGAAATCAATTCCAAGGCGATGGAACGAGTAACCCATGAAGGCGTCTAATAAAAAGAACTGGCCGATCGCGTTCAGTAAGAACAGCAATTTAGTTATCAAGTACAGGAAAATTAAACACCTCCCAGAATGTTTCTTCCAAAAGCACCATTTAACAACATTGAATTTGCCTTTGAATATTTTGTGTCGCCTTTTCTGTTTTGAAATGTCGAGCCAACGTTTAACACAGTTCGCCAGGTTGCTTATGGCCTCCTCTCTATCATCTGGTGATACAACAGCTGTATTGTCGGCCAACTTCACCACCTGGGGGTTAAAGAAAAGGGGCCAAAGAATGAGCACTCAATTAAACATAAGTCGAAACATGTACAAAATGAAATAGATGTGGTTTGGCTGTTTCACAATGTTGTTGCATATTGTGTGATATTTATTATAAGATCTATTCCGAACAAACGGATGGTACATTTTTGTCTTTTATTTTATAGGGCCTGGCAAGAAAAGCTGTCTAGTCGTTCGGATGGGACGAAAAACCGAGGTCCTGTGTACACATTGGGGTGCACGTAAAAAATCCATTGACAGTTGGAATTCGATATAAGAGTAGGCCGTAGTGCCGCTGTCCGGGCAAAATTTCCCTCATAGCACACTGTATGGCATATGCCCGTCTTCATTAGCCCAGTTCGGAGCAGAACAGTAGGACGTTAAACCCATTTCATTTGTTTTATTTTATTACCTTATTCCTTTATCTGCGATACGGCCTAATCGTTTTAACGAATTTTACAAAGCAGATAGATATTAGTGAATAAAACTCGTATAAGTTTATTGTGTATGAAAGACTCTATCCTAGTCCTGCTTTAGATATTCAATTTGAATATAGGTTTGGCGATGTTATCAAATTTCACTCTATAATGAATCTCTACATTCGTGACGAAGATATGGTGGCAAGTGATTGTCGCGATTGTCAAGTCACTCATAAACCGGAACAATGTAATGCCTTAAATTAGTTACATTACGGCCAGATCTATATCGTAAGGCCAACTTAAGATTTCCTCAAGGTTGCTGATATGTAAATAGGGTTAGGGCACTTGATTGTTGGTGAGATTATAGGTTAGGGTTAGAGCTAGGTTCAGTTTTAGGATTAGGATTAGCCCTCTTTGCATCTAGTGACCTTAGGCGAAACTTGAAGTTGGCCTTATGGAATAGATCTAACGTTACATCACCCCTTTAAACAAATCTACCATAAAAGAGAAATCAGTATTTTAATTACAAGTTAATCATGCTTACACATTCACATGATGCCACTTTTCATCTGACGAGTTCATACAGCCATATTTGTTGTACTTCTGTATTTAAAAGACAACGGGTCAATCCGACAAAATCTATTTAAAAAAAACTAAGAAAGACAACAATGTCATTTACCTTGTCTATATTGATGCCAACAGATTTATGTAGCATTTTCCAAAAGATGTTTGGCAGTTTAAACAAAAATGCCTGGAACACCAGTATTATTGGAACCCATTGATAATACTGAATCTCCGCATCCTTTCTTTGAGATGGCATAAGGGGTATTTCGTCGTCAATTGGTATGTAATAGGTATTTTTAACCCAACATGCAGCTTCTGCATAATCGACAAACGCATCTGTGAATTCGGCTGGACACCAACAGTGTATTGGATCCCCGGCATACTGGCTGGTAGAGGTGATGATTGCAAAGATGGCGAGTATAAGAACTGTCCAATGGTGACTTAATCTGTCTATGATATCATCGTTGATTCTCTTCTGTGTTCGGAACACCGACAGTATATCGTCAAACCCCATTATTTATTACGTGTGGCGATTTACTCAAGCGAAAACAAAGAACAGTCTACGCATTCTAAATCGGTTAAAACCATCGTTTTTTTCTGAAACCAGACGGTGTAACATTTAACAATAAAGCTGCATAATTTTACTGCTATTAGAAACGGACTGTTTGCTATACCACATGAGTAATGAACTATAAATATCTACACGACAATTAATATTTTGAAAACTTTATTCTTTTATTCACTGTAAAGTTATGTATTATGAATAGCTTATTGTATTGCCTTCGTTTATAATCCAATGAAAGGGCATTAGGATTTGTTAGAAATGAGATTTAATATGGCTTTAGTTGACGTTTGTTACTGATATAAATAACGTATTATAATACGTTGATGACTTTTTGCTTAAACGGTTTATAGTATAGTTCCTTTATTCAAAATATATGGCACCTCCCTCTTCCCTCCCCAGACTTGGTCCTGGCTCTATCTCTACTTTCGTTTCTTATTTTTATGTTGAAGACTCTTCACGAGTTACAATTATGTAACTTTCACTTCAAATACTATGTAATGAATTTATTGTATATAAGGTGCCTCTCATTTCGTTGATAATCTGGCCTGTGTCCTAAGCGGTGGGCAGACTAGCCGAATCAGTCGGCGCCGAATTGCAGCCGAATGAGTGGACACACTAGGCGAATCCTTCGCTGGATTCACCACTCGATTGCATCTCATTTTACGTCACATGATTAGACATGGCAGCGACCATGTCTTCAAAGAATTACGTGACTTCACTTCTCGATATATGAGTGGTTATTGGCAAATGAATTCTACAATCGGGCGAATATAATTCGGCCGAATATATCAAACATTTTTGATTCGGGCTAATCATTCGGCCGAATGACAGTGGACACACTAGACGCCGATTGACTACCACTTTACCGGAACTTGTATTGATATAGATTTATCTATATGTTTTCTAGTTTACTAACAAAAACTAACATTTCCAAACTTGAAAGACAGATTGTGTTGTAGTGTCATCGGTGACGCCTTTTGTGCAATTGGGCATAGCTTTTAGCTGTGTCTTAAGCAAAAATGATTTTTAAAGATAGGCACCAAAGTCCGTACAACAATAAATTATAAATGGGAGCCACGGCAGAAAACAAATTCAAGGAGTTGGTTTATTTTTAAAAAAATTGTATTAAAACTATAATAACTTCCTATGTTAAAGCAAATTTATCTGTAAGCAATCTAAGCATTGAATTAAAATTTTACATTGGGGTTTCCTCTAACGGTTTTTCTGCTGGTTCATGAAATGTTTGGGCCACTACACAAGTATTTCCCAGATTTCAAGATATTAAAAGGTGTATTCGCTAAACATGTTTGGATTTCAAAGTCTGTTCAAATTGCCATCAACAAAGACGGCTTTATAAATGAATAGCATTTATAATGCAGTAATCCCACTGGGGCTTACGAATGTCCCAAACACTTTTCCTCGGCTGATGGGTTTTAGAGATATGGCTTTTTCAGTTCGATACGGGTCCACTTTTCCACATTCTGACCGGCCTTCAACCTCCACCTTAACTAGAACTCGATCTAGAAACGCCATTGTTTGGCATAAACGTCCCTCTTGATGCCGGTTGGTGCAAAAAATGTAGGACGCTTAAACCTATTTCATTTCCATTCTTAAATATTAATATCATATAAATAAGAAGCATCCTCGTAATCAAGCAAACTAATTCTTTAAAGTGATCTACATGTCTTCTGACACATTGTCCATGCCACTCATTTTAGATAGTGATTTCTCATCCATGCCTAAATCTGCATTTGGTAAATCATCCTGGGAATGTTTATATTTTTCCCAAAGTCTCAGGGTTAGATCTCCAGCAAAGATGTCGGAAGAATTCTGTGACACGATCCTTAGAATAAAAAGGCCATCAAAACCCAGGAAACTAGAGAGAAACCTCTTAAGGAGCTTCTTATCTTCGTCGTCATTTATGTGTTCTAGAGTCTCCATGTAACTCTTTACAAACGATTCTTTGGTTTTCATATAAAACGTATCAAAAATCCACCTTAAGAGACCACAGATTATGCACAACGATATCACAACCAGGATAAACCAAATAGATAAAAAAATTCTTTCGTTGAATAAATTAATGGACAATACACATTGAACTGTCCATGTTTGGACATTTGACAGCTGCCGAATCTTAAAATCACACAGAGTAGTTCGTGGAAATTTTGTAATACCACTAAAGCTAGACTCGGTGATTGCTTTGGAAGCGAAATCAATTCCAAGCCTATGGAACGGGTAACCCACGAAGGCGCTTAATAAAAAGAACTGCCCAACCACGTTGAGTAAGTACAGCAATTTAGTAAACAAGTAAAAGAAAGTTAAACACCTTCCAGAATGTTTGTTCCAGAAGCACCATTTAATAACACTGTATTTTCCTTTGATCATTTTTGCTCGCCTTTGTTGTTTGGAATTGTCGAGCCAGCGTGTAACATAGTACGCCAAATTATTTATGGTTTCCTCTCTGTCCTTTGTGGATACCACTGCTGTGTTGTCGGCTAGTTTCACTACCTAGTGGACATAAAACAAGAGACTAATGAATTAAAATTAAATTTCTACATTTTTAAAAAGATCTATTAAACTATTGTATTAAACTATGAAACGGCATATTATATTTATTATACTGTCTATTCTATTAAACTATTATAAAGTCTGTAATATAATCTGTTATATCAAACTATTATAAAGTATCTTATATTAAACTATTACAAAGTCTGTTATATAATCTGTTATATCAAACTATTATAAAGTATGTTATATCAAATTATTATCAACTTTATTGTTTTAAACTATTTTAAAGTCTGTTATATTAAACTATTATCAAGTATATTATATTAAACTATTTTAAGTCTGTTATATTAAACTGTTATAAAGTATGTTTTATTCAACTATTATAAAGTATATAATATTAAACTATTATAAAGTATATAATATTAAACTATTATAAAGTCCATTTATGTGTGCTTTAGATCATAAGGTGGTACTAGAGTCGCCTGCCCTCCACAATCTTCCTCCCATTGTATGTGTTAGTTCCGAAATTACCTAGATTGAGTCGAATTTATGTTAAATCCGATCTCTTTCTAATCACATTTTAACAATCCATTTACATACTGAAACGCACGTGGAATCTGGAATTGCTCCATAAGATCTGTCATTGAGTCAAGTGGCGTGGTTTTTACGTGACAAGGAGTAGGATCACCTGTCCTCTCGTGGGTTTTCTCCGGGTCCCACTACTAAAGACACTTTCGGGCATTATTGTAATAAAATTCAACACCCCTTACAATCTTATTTTTAAAAAAATCAGCGACATTTACCTTGTCTATATTAATGCCAGAATATTCATGTAGCATTTTCCAGATAATGTTGGGTAGTTTGAACAAAAATGCCTGGAACGCCAGTATTATTGGCACCCATTGGTAATACTGAATCTGGGCATTCTTTCTTGGGCCAGGATCAACAGGTACTGTTTCGTCTATTGGTATATAATATGTATTCTCTACCCAACATGCAGCTTCGGCATAATCCACATATGCCTCTGAGAATTCAGCTGGACACCAACAGTGTATTGGATCACCGGCATATTGGCTGGTAGAGATGATGATTACAAAGATGGCGAGTATTAAAACGGTCCAATGGTGACTTAATCTGTCGATGAGGTCATCGTTGGTTCTTTTTTGCGGCTGGAACAACGATTTTAACTCATCAAAAACCATTCTCTGGTAATCCGGATCTTCATCGGAGCATACTGTTTTCCTGCTAGTCAGTCTAATAGGATCAACCTTAATTATACGATCTGGTTTGATATATTACATGATTTCAGGACTGACTATAACTTCACAACAATCAAAGGGCATTGCTTTTATTCGCTGTAGATCTGTATGTAAAGTTTCTCACAGAGCTTTTGTTAACAATTCAACTAAATGCATTGTGACATAAATGACAACCTTTGAATGGGGCGACGTTCCTATGATACGAGAAAAGTACCAATAGTTAAAGGGTGTAAGACTCTAACTCAGTATTATCCACGGTCTTCGACATATACAAACATGAATTATTGGCCCATTATCTTACCGTGAAAGTATGGGCTCTTGATATCCACTATTTATTAAGACACTCTCTGGTCTCGAGTGCCATTTGTAATGAGGTGCCTTTATGAACGAGACAAAACGTCAGAGCGTATGTGAAATATCCAACAGCACTTCAAATGTAGACTAGACTAACCAGATGCAAAAGACTGACAATCAATTTTGGACTGTTCGCGTATTTTGATGAACATAACTGATTAGACATTATAGTATAATAAAAATTTTAAAAATTGAATGTAAATCAGTTTATATTCATTCATATTAAACTAATATGCGCCTATTTTGGTACATTTCAGGTTCCATAGAATAGAGATTTAGCTTCTTTAATCTTTCGTCAAAAGATTTAAAAATAAACAAATTATTTTTGTAAATTGAACAATACCTATAATTATGTGGCACAAGATCGACAGTACAACTAATGTTTATTTGTCACACGTAGGTATAGACTATTGTTTGGATTTGGTCGTAAATAAAGAAAGTACAGGGTTATAAACCTGCTTGTCACAGAAACCAATAGATTTTCACAAATTGGCTTAAAATTGTTATTTACTGTCAAATTATTGTACAATGCCTTACTTATAAAGTTATAAAAATTGGGCATGGAAATTTTAGGATACAATGCAGAACCAGCCAAGTCGTGTAAGTACAAAGGTGTGCCAATGGTGTCTACTAAGCAGCGACAAGAACCGAAAAGAGCGCCCAGAGTGTTGCAAAAAGTGACCGATAAGGAAAGATATGTACATGTATACAGATATGCATACATTATATCAAAACTGTTAATGATTTCATACTGTTTTTTAGATGATCTGATTGTAATTTTAGATGACCTAAGAATTTTTTTAAAAAATCATTTTTTTTTTTTTTAAAAATGATTTCAATTTTTTTAAAAATGATTTCAGAATTGTTTAAAAATGATTCCATAGTTTCTTTAAAAATGATTTCAGATTTTAAAAAAAAAATAGAATTAAAGATGGTTGATGCATTTCATTAAATGGAAGCGGTTTTTATTTTAATATATCTCTATTAGTATTTTTCAAAACGCAGACATTGGCTATGATACATTGTAATGTCGTATATAGATCTATTTAATATCTCGGTAAATCTGTTCATGCAGTAAAATATGTTTTAAAAAGAATAAAGGTAGTCTTTCAATATCAAGGATTGATAGAATTGTGCACAACACATGCATACTTGATGCAACAACTTGTTGTAAGGTCGCCAGCGGATTCTAATTTCTATCGATAAACGATGCTATCGGGTTTCCTTCTTTGTTTTATAGTTTATGACGATTGGATGCAGATTTGTGCAGATGCTGCACCATTTGATGTTTGGGATACAGTCTTGTTTATTTCCATGCCGGTCAGGTAGATCAGGACGGTTACGGAAGAGATGCAGAAGATTGGGGAGGAGATCAGATTGGTTGGGAGGAGTTCAGTCTGGTTGGGGAGGTCATTTCCATACCAAAATGTCATCTATCGGCTTATTCTGGATTAGGTTTGGTGGTATAGGGTTGCATACCCCCATCACTAACTTCGTGGTTTCTAAATCCCCACCTTAAAATAGACTGTCCCAGAAATAACTGTTCATACCGCCCTGGTGAGTTTGCACTGTTGGTATAAGGTATCGAACGGGGTTATTGTAGAAAATGTCGAGTATTGTGTGCACATGTGTAAATTGTTACAATTGTAACGTGTAGAAGGTTACGTATATATGTTAGAAATATAGATTAAATTCATACGTAGATTCAGAACAGCATGTAGACTTTTATATAATTTAAATATAGTATCGTACCATCTACCTTAAAGGTCGACCAAATTCTTACCCACAAAATGATCAATTACTGCAATAGTACTAGGTTTTCAGCACTGTGGCATGCCAAAATGACCGACGTTACCGGACTGTAACCTACAATAAATTCCGGTTGCCGCGGTGGCTCGGTGAGTATTGTGCTCGCAGCGGCTTACTAACCCTTCTCTGTGAGTTTTCCAATCTGGGCGGAGGATTAGGCAAGGAAAAGCGCCTAGTGTTCGTGTCAATTATAATACCATTCGCAGGACGTTAAAGATTCCCGAACAGATGGATAACGAAATGGGAGGGGGGGGGGGGTCCATCATTGCGCACTACATAGCGTAAGCTCCGTGTTCATTACCCGGTTGCTGATGAAAACTAAGACGTTAAACAAAATTTCATTACATTAGAATGTGATACGTGCAATAAGTCAGGTGATTTTGATGTCGATGACCTCCCAGGGCCCAGAATGACCCTTTTTATCATAGTGATTAGTTTGATGACGATGAAATATATGATAAATTCTGGGGTGTTATATCTGTCTTCAATTTTTATCGATCAATATCCAACTCGTATATTTAATACACTCACTGAGTGTGGGATAATCGGAAGGTTTAAAAGCCAGTGCAAATCAAAGATCATTTGTCAACGATTGATCTTTGGTCTGCGTCGATTTCCAAAGCTGTCCAAGTTACGCAGAGTATCACCGATAAAGATGTTTCATAAATGAGTAGTATTTATAGTATTGAAACCACTTCATTCCCAAACGTTCATCAAAGGGTTATTATAGAGGTTGAGCTTCTCTGCTGGAAACCAACATCCGAGTCGATCTTCATGTCTTCAGGCATATGTGTCGCCAATTAGCTACGGTCATGTCACACATGTTTGGGAATAGTATGTTAGGAATGCACCTGGGTATTAGCCCACATTCCCGTGTGAGAGTTTCACTACTTTTCAACTATGCTATCTCGTAAACTAACGAATGTCCCCACTAGAAATGCGTCTAGCAGTTCGGATGGGACGGAAACCGAGGTCCACCCGTATACTCGTTGTGTCCACCTCAAGATATCCCGTTAGTTTGAGAGAGAGACTAACATATGGTTCAATTTTATTTCAATAATTCACTTGCGCGTAGGTGTCTTTAGCAGTGGGAGGAAACCGGAGGACCCAGAAAAAACCCACGAGGTGGGACAGGCGGCCGAACTCCTTGTCACGTACAACCGGGGAATCGAAACCACATCAGTTGACTCAATGCCAGACTTTTTGATACAGCGCGCACGTGCTAACCATTCGGCCATCAACCCCCCCCCCCCCCCGTTAGTTTGAACAATTATTTCCCTTATAGCTGACTGGATTGTGTTTGGCAGGCTTTATCAGACTGCATGGCTAGTTCGTTATTTCATTCCATAATCTATTGTTCCCTCCCACTTCTATTAAATGGTTAGCATTCTGGAGTTGTTCACCTGGTCACAAATCCAGATTTCTTCAGTTCTTCTTTCTCAACAATACAAGGAAAATGATTTAGCTGTGCGAATTCCCAAATGTGAAGTGATACCAGGCAACCATTCCCTACCCCGTGCAAAACACCCAACAAGACAATGAACTATAAATCATCACCACCAATATATTTTTTAATCATTTATTTATTTATTTGGAAATTATACACTTTAAAAGTAACTAATATATAAACTTTATTGCATCAAAAATATCACTTTACAAAATTTAAACGCGCAGAAAGATAATATATTATGTACAGCACAAGTTTTGTGAGAAAACCTGTATCTTGGAAGACAATGTGACCGTTGTTTAGTAATATTCTATACATATATACTTACAAATTTGTTACTTTTATTCATACAAAATAAAATGTTGAATTTTTTTTCAAAATTCTGCCATTAATATGAATAATATTAAAATCATTAAAAGTGACATGTGGTCAATTCTTAAGCAAAAATAATATAATTCAAGCAAGAGTAATATATCTTATAAAATATAAACGTTCATACATTCACAAAATTTGAGATTAAACTTCTTTTAAAATAAATTTAACGGGAATTTGAATTTTGATTATAAAGAAGGCACTTTTGAAAATGATACATATACAAACTTTGTAAGGCATATCTAAGTATAAGTAATATACATTATTATTAACATAAAATCTGTAACCACTACTGACCGCGATATTTTAATAATATAATCTATCAATCTATCACTATCTTTTACAAGTATATACAAGGACTAAAAGGTTATAATTAGTTTTGTCTTTTTAAAAACAGTTTATTGTACTTTATTATATATTTGATAAATAACTCAACAAACGACAAAATATGGTTTTAGATTAAATCTATAAACTTGTGCCCATGTCGGATGATGGCTTGACCTACCTCTCCCAAATGAATTAAGAGACGTGACCTCTTGGAGAGCTTTGTCTGTGAAATTTTAAAAATGACGATTATTAAGTTACAGCTATACATATACCAACAGTTAAAATGATCTTAACCCTTTAAAACAGGAATGATGGTTTTTATAACGACATAATTTGTCCTCGGTTAAATTATGTTGGTTTTTTTGTTTGTTTTTGCTTGCAGTATATCTAGTTTTTCGATCAAATCAGATTTACATGTAATTAACACACGTCAAATCCACTCACTAGTCGGAACCAATCGGTATTTTCGTTACTCGAGAGATTGCCATCTGGAATTAGACTGATTGGTAGAATGCCATGGAATGTGACAAACATGCATTGTTCTTGATTTGTGATAATTGACTAGTTTTTAAAAAGTTAATTTCACAATGAAAAACCCACTAAAAAGTAGCTAGTAAAAAAAAGTTATACTTTTATTTTGGCTAGAAATGTCAATATTAAATGCTCACGATGAGGTAATATATTATTTCTAATTTTATTAACATGTAGCCATTTAATTTTCACTATGTACTCGCCATCGTTATGTGCATAAAAGATAATTCTATATTACATGCTCAAAAAGGGAAAACCCAGCCAAATTCTAGAAATAAAGTATAAAAATAAATGTCCCTTGTCAAATGTCACACGATCATTTTGATTTTTATTACATAAAAAACAAAGTATATTAAAGGCACTTTCTAAAAAAAATGTATCAAAGGGCTAATTAAAACAAAAGGGAGTTTGTGCGGCAAAATTTGATTTTTTAAGGCACTGTTAACAATATGATAAATTTAATTGGTTCCCTATTTTGGTTTTTACAATTATTAAAATATCTTTGATAAATGCCAATTTCTACATATTGAGTAGAAACAAGGAATGTTTAAATTAAAGATGGGTTTGATTATGTGAAACGAAATGAGCAGAAATAAGAAAGACAATTTTTTGATCGTGTATACTCAGATGATGTCATACTTGACTAAATATGGGTGATGTGTTTTTCGAGATCTGGCTTTTTTCCGGAAAGTAAATTTAAATAGTTTTTGAGATAAGTGTCCGGGGACCCACAATAATATGGGACCTTTTTTGTTTAAAGAGACAGGATATTCCATCTAATAGAAATTGTATTTTGAAAGAGAGAGGCCGTCTCTTCAAACTGAAAAAGCAGATCAAACGAAAAACACACAAACTAAACAATGATCCTCATTCAATATCCGTCAAAGCTACACACAAACATTGACTACATGTACAAACAAAATGGCCGTTAAAAATAGTACATATTTAAGAACGAATCGCGGCCATGTTTTTTTGTTCCACATATTCTCCCTTGAGCGAATTTTTTTATTTTTTCCTAAAAAGTGCAGCAGAATTCATTGTACACCATGTATTTTTTCATTTAAAAGTCATATCTACTCAAAATTGATCATTTAATTATCATTTGCTAGAGCCTCTTTTTCGCTGGGGTAATCATTCGGTTCATATTCGTTGGGTTCCGTTGGTCGTGTTTTCTTTTTATACATATTCCACATATTTTGTACTAAGTCTGTTACAACCAAATCAGTTGAATTTTTAGAAATGACTCGGAGCACAAACACACCATCATCTCTTAAATATTGATCGGCGAATTTAACGCAGGTCTTCTTGTCGGATGCCGTATGTAATTCGTTGTTGATTTTCAAATATTTTTTGATGTAGGCGGCACGATTCCTCTTGAGAACGATTCTGTAAAACCAAGCCAACATGTTGATACAGCTGAGAGTGGCTACGATTACCAACCAGAACCAAATGAAGATGAAGATCTTCTCGTTAAAAAGATTAATGGGCAATACACATTGCACGGTCCAACGTTGGATGTTCTGCAATTGTCGGATGCGGAAGTCGCAGAGTGTGACTCGGGGGAATCTTGGAGACTCTTTCCAGCTTCCTTCGTTGGCTAACATTTCCATGACTTCAAATCCGTATAAACTGTAATCCGAGGCCAGGAAGGCGTTGAGGAGGAAAAATTGGCCGATGACATTCACAACATACAAGACTTTCACGAAAAGGTAGAAGGCAACCAGATAGGTACCAGCACGCTTATTGCAGAAAAAACAACAGATCCTCGCCATCTTTTGTTTAGCCCGTACTATTATGTTATATTTGTATTCTCTGTGAGTTTCCAACCAACGATCTAAATATTTAGATATATGGTCAATGGTGGTCTTACGGTCGTCTGGTGAACCCATTTGTGTTTTCTCTGCCATGTCTACAACCTGAAATAAATCAAATTAAATTATTAGATATTTTCAACCTACTTATATTTTTAATGTCTGTAAGATATCTAAAGAGTACTGAAACATTGTATGAAATAAACTAAGAAATAAATCCATGAAGTTATATTCTTTTTTATTAATGCTATACTTCTACTTATGTAAATCAAAATTGATTATGGGTTTGCTATGTGTAATAATTTATATAAAATTTGAGTCCAAAAGAAAGATAAAGCATTTTGAAGGATGTGATTTTATTACACATAATCCAATCGGTTTTATAAACTTCTTTGAAGGCAAAACAAATGTTAACCAGAACAAAAATAAGATTTTATCAATGACAATACTCGCAATCTTTAAATACAAATCTGGTATTATTTCGGAATAATTGGTGTCTACCAACTGATAAAACTTCTGATCAAAACGAAAACTCTTGAACTTACCTTATCTAAATTAATACCCGATCCGCCATTAAAAACTCTCCACATTATATTGGGGAATTTAAACATGAAAGCTTGGAAGAGAAGAATTAAAGGAACCCATTGGTAATAGGTGATTTCTTCTTGTTCTCTCTTACCATGATCTGTTGGTATTACTTCCTGCATAGGAATATAATACGTGTTTTTAATCCAGCAGTAGGATTTAGCATAATCTACATACGATCCTGAAAAGATACAAAATGTACATGTATAAAAATTGAGAATTCTGAAAGTTTTGAGAAATGCAAAACGCGCCCTTTTCGTCTGGTCAGCTTAGAATTAGTTTATAGCCCCCCCCCCCCTTAACATTTGCTTTTCAGTTGTACACACAGATAAACAGATAAAAAAAAATAAATCATTTGGCGTTCTCTTCTCTTTGGACAAGCCGCTGTCCGGGCAAAATGTCCCCCATAGTACACTGCATAACGTATGTCTGCCTTCATTATCCGGGTTGGTGCAGAACAGTAAGGTGGGGGATGGGTGGGGAAATCGGAAGACCCTGAGAAAACCCACGAGGTCGGACAGGCACCTCTATTCATTGTCACGTATAAGCGAGGTTTTTCTAGAAGTCGTTGAAAATGTTTATGGACTCCTTGACTATTTGACTTAAACCATTACTGCTCAACAAAGAGGGTACTTCATAAATGCGAATTATTTAACGAAACTCCGCCGAAACCAATCACTGACATTGTAGGACTGTGATGTTAAACCATCGGCGATTCACATTCACGCACTTGAAATAATATTTTCAATAAAAGAACGCCAAATATTCGAATTTTTACGAATTTATTTTCTGACAGAGTGATTTCGAAATAATTTTAACTGGATAAAAATATTTGAAACTTACCCGTAAATTCTGCTGGACACCAACAGTGTATGGGGTCGCCCACAAACTGCCCTGTACTGACCACGATGGCGAAAAGAGCGAAGAGGAACACTGTCCATACATGATTTAATCTATCTATCCAATCATCATTACTAGCTCCTTGTAACTTCTTTAAGGACGGGACCCCGCCCAAAATCGACCCTATAGACCTGAAATACATAATTTAAATTATTGTTAAATTTCAACAAAATGGGATAATTGTACAAAATCGAATGGCTGATAATTTTAAAGTTTGGTAAAGATTACCAAGATTAAGTTTGGGATACACTTGCCACGCACAAAGAGGTTACTTTATTTTTTAACCAACTAACTAAATCCATTTCTAAGGTATATTTTATAATATGCCCAGACTAACCCCATTTCTGGGGTTTATTTTATAATGTATCCAAGCTAACCCCAATATCTAGGGTTTATTTTATAATGTATCCAAGTTAGGGTTATTTCTAGGGTTATTTTACAATATGTCTAAACTAAGCCCATTTCTAGTTTTTTTTTTTATAATAAGCCAAACTAACCCTAATTCTAAGGTTGTTTTATAATATGTTTAAACTAACCCCAACTACTAAGATTTACTTTATAATATGTTCAAACTAACCCCAACTACTAAGATTTACTTTATAATCTGGTCAAAATATCCCAACGCTTAAAGTTTGTTTACTTACATACTTTAACCATACTTCTAAAGGTTGTTTCATATTTTGACTAAAATAACCCCCAGGTCATGGATTACCTATTAAATTTTCAAAACATACTTTAAGAGTAAAGCTGTTTAGTTAGGTGCTTTTTTCTATTCTTTATTTTGACTTTCATTTTTTTGGATTGGGACATAATACCACGGGACTAGACCGGAGTGCCGATGTCTGGGAAAACGTGGTGTATGTCCGCCTTTATTAACCCAGCCGTCTTGATTAGCCCAGTCGGAGCAGAAAAGTAGGACGTTAAACCCCATTTCATTTCCTTTATTAGCCCAGTGGGTGCCGACCAGTAGGGCGTTAAACTCCTTTTCATTTCATTTCAGTTATAAATTACTAGCATAACCAACATTTTCACCGTTTATTATTATTGGCAGTATAATTATACACAATTGTGTAGACAACCAATACAGGTTGTAAATTTAAGAGAAATTCTGAAATGTAACTGCGCCAAATACCAATGTGGTGATCCACAAATGAAAATCAGACGTGAAATATATTTTCTACAAGAAAACTGTTATGGAAGCATACAAACAGTAACAAATATACATGTTTAAAATATAAATAAATATAAGTTATGGAAACTTCCTACACAGAGAAGTGATATTAGATGTTCTAGAAAGATGGTGCATTGCATCTGCCACTACTTATTGCATGGTAAACTATAACGCATTAAACATAACTGAAATGAAATGGGGGGGGGGAGGGGACTAACACGCGATACGTTTAAATTTTAAACAAATCGCAGTGGGACGAAACCGGAGAAAACCTACAAAGTAAAGCAGACGACCCAACTTGAAATCACCTGATTAAAATCACACTTGACTCAATGACAGGCCTAACGATATAAAGAACACTAGCCCTCCTCCATCACGCCTTACTGAAACAATATCTGCATACTTATTTTATTTGCCCTTATGTCTCTTTAACGACAATACGTGTACATGTACAATACAATAATGATTCTATACTGCAATTATTTATAATATCTTGTCATTGTTGACATATATACATGCACTCTATCCTTCCCAATTTACGTAACTCGGTAAATAATAAGTAGCTATGGCTTGACAAGAGTTATTGTTGGGATCGGAAACTTATGACGTTCATGACCACTAAATGAACTCGGATATCCAAATGGTTGAATACTAAGTATATTGTATATTGTTCATGGGTGTACAGACGTAGTAATTAGTCAAAGATAATAACATATTTGGTAAAATGACTCAATGTCCAACAAAATAGACCCATGCGAATACACCAAAGCAATTAATGAGACATTTTGTTAACTATAACTTCATTTAGCTATAAGTAGCAACGAGTGTTGTGTACGAGGCAGGATATGTTTACTCTACAAATAATATCATATACCACTTCTTTTTAGGAGGTGAATACACGTTTTATAAACCAAATATTTGTGATATATATACACGTATTTAAGTAATGATTCGAAATATTGCTCATCAAACTATCCTTTCATTGTGCCACACTACATCCTGCTGATGGCGACCGTTCATCTTGTTGAGCATGCTATTGCTTAGCCTACGCTTTCTTTCTAAAATACCTCTTACAACTACCCCTTTGGAAAGTTTTCCTTTGTTTTGTACTAATGTAAATAAAGGAAAGAAGGGGTATTGTGTTTATCTCTTAGTTTTGAAACCAACATATGATTATTATATACTATGGCCATGTCAACGTGTACACTGCTAAAGGGAGAAGCGTTTTCACCTAGTCAAATGTCAGTGGTTCTTTTACGAACGCACCTTGAGGCCAATGAGTGTACATTGTTTTTCTTACCATAAGACAAACTAGATAACATTTAACTTGTCGATATCGACGGATAATACACCTGGGTTAACAAAATCTCCAAGATCTTTTCACACCCGCCAGGATTCGACGCCGGAAGAACGCCGTTATTTAAATAGTGATATAAATATAATACATCTCCTAAGTATATTTATTAAAAGATTTATTAATGAAAATATATGTTAATATTGTGTTTATTGTTTATATTTCCTCTTATGTATGTTAATATTGTTTACATTTCCTTTGGTTGCTATAAACAAAACATTGTACTAAATTTAAAGCGCCCACCCCAATTAGGGTATATTAGCTAAACATGACATGTAAATGGTTCAGTTTGGCTGGTAATGGTTTTGAATGTCATGCTATAAATTACCAAGTTATTTGACATATACACTTAAGTTATTCAGACCTTTGTGATAAAAATCCCTAATTACATGAACGATGTTCCGCATCATGGGTTTTATGCAATAGACCCTTATTACTGTTAACAATTAACAATGGGCTCGTATCAATATGGTTCAATGCATTTTAATACGAAAAATCGGAGCAAATTCTTGTATATGGCTTACGTCTGAGTGGGAGTTGTGAATACATATGTGTGTCGTTATATCAGATAATTGGACATATTCTGGGTGTTTTCTGAATGTTTATATAGTCTTTGTTTAAAGAGACTTGCAAGAAAAGAAATGGTGTTTAAAGGGACAATAACACTCTTGCTGGCTTGACAGCTCCAGAAAAAAAAATAGCCTTATTCTAAAGACTAGATGTGTTAGTGTCCTACCTGCTGTGTAAATTATCCATTAAATCCTATTTCACTTGTCCAGGGGGTTCAAAAATATTTTTAAATCAAAGTCACATTTGAAAAGCTTTACGTCAGGCTTTTCAAATCATTTAGTTGAATTTTTCCACTTTTTTAAATTAGGTGTGTTAAGATGAAATTTGTATCATCAATTAATTGGAATATTGTAAAATAGTACAATTTGTTGACCAGAATAAAGATTGGGACATATTATTCAGTTACAACAAGAGTGGTATTGAGCCTTTAACGTCTTACTTTCCTACACCCACCAGACTAACGAAGAGTAGATTTTACAAGAAACCTAACACTCCAATCTGTAGATATTTATTTCCCCTAAATGTGGTTACACAAATCGTGGTTAATGGCGGTTGTCGATGTAGTTTGCGAACAGCATTCTCTGCAAGGGCAACAATGTTGTGGAAATAAATGTAGCTGGCCGAAAGGATTACTATTCGAATGGCGCATTTTGCACAGATTAATGGCACCCGGGTTGCTTTGGAAAAGTGGCTATATTTCCACATTTTCAGAGAGAGAGCGAGAGAGAGAGAGAGAGAGAAAGAGAGATTTACAAGGAATTATTTTTCACGAGTAAAAGTATTATCCATACATCTAGACAGTTACCTAATAGTTGTGTTCAAGATAGATCTTATCAAACATTGAGATAAGGGGTGGTGACCTAGTGCCGATTATATACGAATAACAAGATCATTAATGAATGCATCTTACGCCATTTCTATGTAGAAAATTATCCCCAAAATACAAACAATGTCGCGATATATATTAAAACATACATTATGCAAGCATCTGCCTATTGCAGGCCTGAAATGTTAACTAAATTATAATCGAGACTATGTTTTTATCGTACCGACTTTAGTAATGATGGTCGAGGCTAGGCCGAAAATTCAATTGCTAAAATCACGGTTCAGGGTGGATCAATTTGACTGAAATTTTCAGCAAATTCCCTTTACATTATGTAGTTTTTAACTATTATAGTGAGAACAACCAGCTCTTTATCTAATCTCCCATGATGTATCTTTAATACAAATTCCACATGGGATATAGCACAGATACTCGGGATAGATCATGAATTGATCTTACAAAAAGTTAACGCGAACGGGTGTGGCGTTTGTTGGATGATTAGTTTGTTCAGCTGATATCTTTTCGAGTGCCGTCCACTTGCTACTAGTTTGCACGGACCTTTTACAGGACTTTCAATGCTATGTCTACAAATGATTTTTGGTTTAAATAAATTCGCTGTAAGTTTATCAAATGGTGACCAATGGCCGATCTGAATATTGCCATGACCTACTCATAAAACGTTTAATACCTATAAATTTTATGGCCCAATTGATGAGATAAGAGAAGGTAGGTATTGAACTTATCTAGGTTATAAAACAACAAGTAGAGGAATCCATATCCTCTGAGATTGATTTATGGTCGAGACAAACGCCACGCCCGACGTCTACTACAAACAAGAATGTCTTGTAAATACAACACTTCAGTATTTTGAGACAAACATGATAGTTTATATCACTATGTTGACATGGGGGGAATTTTGTCCGGGTAGCAGCGTTCCGATCTAGTCTTCTTCGAACTCCGACATCAGGGGATCTTTTGCGTGCACGCCAATGTGTATACCAATGGATTGCAGTTGGCACAGGGATGTAGAGCGTTATGTTACTACTTTATTACGGGTGTTGAAAAGTAACGCCAAATTATATATAAAAGATAGCCACACAAAAGGTTTGTCTCGAAAACAAGATAACCACAAACAGCATCCAAGCTTATCCGAAAGAAAACGTTGTGGCCTCTAGAGAGGGGATAAGCTATAACTATCAGCTATGAAGGGCCA